AAGGAAGGAAGGAAGGAAGGAAGGAAGGAAGGAAGGAAGGAAGGAAGAAAAAAAGGAAATTAAGACCCCAGAGGAGTCCACAAGCAAACACACCTTATTTTGTGCTTTTGGATCTTAAAGGGAGCCATCCATATGAGGAGCTACCAGCTCTTAGGGGATCCCCACCTTCTCCCAACGAGGAGCCTGCCTTCAGTGTACTAAAAAGAATTCTCTGAAGACGGACAGAGGCTTCCATGCCTGTGCTGATGTCAGTCTGGGAACTTGTCCGCCAGATTCAACACTATACCCTCGACAGTCATTTTAATCCCCCATGGTGCCTGGTATTGTGCCCATTTTAACACAGGAGAAAGCAAGACACAGAGAGTTGAAGACCTGAGCATTGTCTTGTTATTGTCTGCAAGAGTCCTGGAACCAATCCCCAAAGATACAGAGGAACGCTCGTGTACTCAGACCGTGAAATCCCACGCTGCTGGGAGACAAGGCGTGGCCTGCTGGTGCAGGAAGGGAGCTGGCAGCTGCTGCAGGCTGCATTCTCTCACTCCTGCTGCCCCTGCTGAGTGTCCTGAGACTAGCCTGCACTGCCCAAGCCGTGACTAGGGGAAAGGTCACTTCAGTTCAGGTTTTGTATTTCGGAAAATACACTGATGACCAGTTGGTTTCCTCTTTGGCTGCTGCAAAAGCATGTTTCTGGTCCATGCTGTTTAAGTCTAAGTTGTTTGAGAAAAAAAAAAATTAGTACTGTTCATTATGTAGCTAGAAAAAAAAAAGAATGTTCTGTGTGAATTTTAGATTTCACCAAATTCTGACAGATTTTCACAGTTGGGCTGATTTCCGTTTGGGTGTTAGCACCTAGCGCAGACTTACAGGGACATGAGCATGAGATGTGAACATTTTCATGTCTCTTTGATTTGTCCAGTGAAAGGAATTATATTTACCCTCAAGTTCTCTCCACAACCCCCATCAGCAGAAAAACCTCAGAACAGGGATTTCTCTGGCCTGGTAGACTGTAAAGAGGATTGGGATCGGCTCATGGCTCCTCACGACCACCCCCCATCATTGTCCCAGAGAGGCTAGGTGATACATTGTTGGATGTAAGTGTTGGGAAGAGTTTGGAATAAACCTGTATTATCTTTTTGGGGTCCTGGGCTAGGCCCACAGTACCCCTTCAACCCCACAGCACAGGACATTTGAAGAAAGAACAAGAGAGAGGAACAGAATCTCTGAGGTGGGTTTGACCCTAGCTCAACTGTGGAGGAAGCTTGGAGGCTGAGTTGGGATGACAGGTTATGGGTCCCCCAGGAGGACCAGCCTTGCCATGAGGGTTCCTACATGGCGTGTAAAGCCTTGTCTGAAGTTCTGCATGGAAGAGGTCCCGGACGATGGCTCCGTCATCCTCATTCTTTGCCAGCCAACGGCCACAGGGAAAAGTCATGCACTTTCCAAGAGATGGGGCATCCACCTCCACCCAGTCTACAAACCAGCCTGGGGCCTTGCCTGTAGATGGAGAGAGAGAAAGGCAGAGCCCATTAAGAGCATGTGCAGATGCGGCTTCCTAGGGTGAGCTCAGAGACTCCCAGGACTCTCCCCTTCTTGACATTGACAACCAGAGCTCTACCAGGTCTGTAGCACCATCTTGCTGACAGCATTGTCAAGATGACACGTATTAAGACATGCACATGGCTGAAACTGCATCTCACTCCAGGCTGGACCAGTGAAAGCAGGGACAGTAAAAGGGCAGTGGCAGAAGACCAACCTGTCGTTGTTGGTCTAGGAGAAGCACCAAGAGGCGGTAACAGGAGAGTAGGCAAGTTTGGGCAAGGGAAGCATGGATGCTGTCCAGGGTGGGCAAAGCTCTAGGCAGGAGCTCAGCTTGTGTTCACGGAGACATTCTCCTCTCATCATATGTTGGACATGAGGCCCACAGCTCCCTGATTCTATTTGTGATGGATGAAAGGTGAGGCAGCAGGTGCTAAGCTTAGGGAAGAAAGTGAAGACCAGGTAGAGATCCTAATCCTACAGTCTGCCAGCCCCTGCTTCTAGGAAAGGGGTTTCTTCTCATGCTAAGAAGCAGAGCTTTGGGGAACAGCACAGAGTCCCACTTTCCTGTGGAAAAATGGACACACCTTTGCCTGGCTGCTTTGTCAGTGGCTTCCATGAAGATAAGGCCGGCTTGTTGGTCCTGTACTGGGGTATCTAGGCTAGCAATTGTGTATGAGCAAGGGACTTGAAAGTCAAGCACATTCTCGGAATTCCTGAATCAGAGACACCCTGGTGGACTTTGGGAGTCATACTCCAATACCCCCTCCCACTTAGGGTGACACCAGTGCACCGCCAGGCCAGAGAGCCATTGTGCTATTTCAGGGGCTTTCTAACCCAGTTGCACATTACAAGCTCCGGGGTTGGGATCTGGAGAAGGGCTCCTCAAAGCACCCGTGTTCAGGTCCCCAGGCAGAGCAACCGGCCCCAAATCTGCCGCAGCCAGGGCTCCGCCGGGTGAGTGGGGCCCGGAAGCTGTGCCATCCTGGAAGACTGCCCGTGCACACTGACTTGCCCCCTGGCTCTCGAGTTCTACCACAGGACAGAAGGAGGGGAAACCAGACCTGTGTTGTCATGGCCGATCCTAACTTTCCACAGCTCTCCCAGCTCCAGCGTCTCCACAGTGAAGATTTCAATGCTGTCCCTCTCAAATTTGTCACTGTTGGTCTTGGAGGACTTCAGGAGGGTCATTCCTGCCAACCAGAGAACCCCAACATGACTGGCTGCCTCTAAGGCCTCCCCAACCTGGCCTCACTCACCATCCTAATGATGCCCAACCTTCTGAGTTTCCATCAGACCATCAAAGGTGCCGCTCCACCCACAGTGTGTGTGTGTGTGTG